ACTTTGAGCTTCGTGTTGATGATTTAAACGGCGGCAAAACTGCAAAACTCTGCAGACAGAAAACTTGTTTTATCGTTTCTGAAATATTTCTGAATCACCGACGTTGTTTCTTTTTGCAACCACATCTTATTTTTTAGAGTTTTTCTCTCGTTTTTTTCAGTTGACATATTAAGCCTGCATGTCGATGAACTCCATGTTCAGTAAATAAAGTCAAGAAAAACTGATAAAAAAGTGAAAGAAACTCCTGATGTTTTCGTGTTCCAGAATTACAACTTTGTGTGTTTTGTTTTAAGCAGCAAAAATCAAAAATTAATCAGCAAGTATTTCAATAAAAACGGGTTTAAGTCATTTTTTTATTGCTAAAATATGATAAATTTGCTGTTTTAACTCGTCAGATACGAGGATTTGATGCCATAGGCTCATTATCTTAAGATTTTCTTCTTTTTTTTTTGACATTTTCATATTTTTCTGACATGTTGTCGAAGATATTTCAAAGTAGAGCTGATCGTAACTGTGCGGTCGCCACAATTTTACTGCATTTTTATTGTAATTTATTGAAAACAGTTTAGTTCTGTTGAATTTATTTCTGTATTCGGCTGCAGAACGTGATGTTTACAGTAAAATACTGACAGCTGGATAATATTCTGTATTTATAGAATCGCCATTGTGATCAGTGTTAACCGTAGTTGCTTGTAAATTACATTTTCTTCTTTTAATATGTAGAAACTGCAGACAAATGCAGACAATAACAAAGTGTTTTAATTATTTATGATGCAGAATTAACAACTCTGTTTAACATTTAAAATCCATGTTGCACCAAAACGCCTAAAACCATTAAAAAAAAAAAAAAAAAGATAAAGGTGTCTGTAATCTGTTAAATCAATTTTAAAAACCAAGAAAAAATCATTTAATTTAATGTAAAAAAGGAAATAAAATAAGCGTAAAGTTCGCAATAATTGTCTTACCTGTAAAAAAAAAGTTTGTTACTTTAAACCACATTTTATAAACTGTTGTGCAAACATGTTTGTGTTTTTGTTAACATAAGATAAAACTTTATTAAAACTTTTTTAATAATTAATAAATGAATTAATTCACCCTGTTTCCAGCAGACTTCTGTCAAAACTAGTCTTGGCTCCAAAATCGCAACAGATTTTACAGTTTTTAACGTTTATTTTGAAAAACTCTGCACTACTTCCTTTACAGTGTTTTATAGGAACTGGTTGATAATCAAGAAGCTACAAAAACTCTACGATGGCCAAAAAAATCTGCACTTTTCTCTGGTTTTCTGACTCCCTGTCGTGTTTCCTCATGCAGCTGTAAGCAGAAGCTGTACTCGGAGAAGCTCCCCAACACCAGCATCATCATCCCGTTCCACAACGAAGGCTGGTCGTCGCTGCTCCGGACGGTCCACAGCATCCTGAACCGCTCGCCGCCGCAGCTCATAGCCGAGGTCATCCTGGTCGACGACTTCAGCGACAAAGGTACGGCCGAACCAAACTCTCCTAAAACCTCTCAGTCATTTGAGGCTCGGTGGACTGTTGCACAAATAATGAGTGAAACCAAAGCGTCACCCGGCTTCTGATCTCAGGAAGCTTCTGCGTATGTCGGCGATACATCAGAGCACCAGTCGGTGTTTGAGAGCAGCTGCTCAGCTCAAGTCCGTTTACGCTGCAGGTTCAGCACTTTTTTATCTGTTATATATTTTGGCTGCTGCTGGAATTTATTCTGGACCTCTGATTAATTGTTGCTCCAAACTTTGGAATTAACCCTCTGAACCCAGCAGGTATCAAAGGTTTCTTATGTTTAAAAAACAAAAAAATCCCCAAAATTACACCAATTATCAAAACTGGAAACTGTTAAAACTGAAAAAAATCACTGAATTTAAAACTTTCTAACAATCTATGAACTATCAATGTGCAAAGTGCAATTTAGTTGCTAAAATTAATCAACTCTAAGCTAAAAATCAAATTTTTTTTCATTAAAAAAGCGCCTCATTCTATGTGTCCAATTTCAAAATACGGCAAATATAAATGTTTTGATCCAACTAAATTCTGTAAAAATATAAAAATTCTGCACTTCTCGACGCAACCATGAAGCCATCAGACACTTAGCTGGGATCAACAGAATCGTGGCAAAAATTCATTGAGTTCACACGTGAGCTGAGCTGAACTGCACAGAATGAAGACAAATCATAGTGTAAAGGGTTAAATATCTGTAGTTTTTCCAGTGTTGGTAACATCTGCACTTGGAGAAAATGCTGGACATGTTGATTCTTGCATTTCTCCAAAAATCGTAAAAACAAATAATCAAAAAAACTGAACATGATTTTTTTTTTTTTTCAATTTTTATAATTTATGGCGTTCTAACTTTGTTAGATGCACAGAAGATGTTTCACTTGCTGAGTTGTCTTCATGTTGTAGAAAACATATTTAACAGCTTCTGAATGCACAAAAAACGTGATACCTAAAACAATTCACTGTAATTTTAAGACAATTTTTTCCCCCACTTTTGCTAAATAAATATAATAACGACTTCGTTGTCTGTCTCTGGGTGTAGCCCTGTGATGGACTGGTGACCTGTCCGGGGTCGCTCTTCACCCTGGGGCAGCTGGGATAGACTCCAGCCCCCCACGACCCTAGAGAGGATTAAGCGGTGTATAGATAATGGATGGATGGACATAATACCGAGTAATATAACACAGACAAAAAAATACTGGTTAATATAAAACAAACAAATAAAAAAAATCTGAATTTATGCAAATCGTAATTTGTCCATATTTTATTGTATTTAAATCTGCTAAAACATATATATATATATCCTTATTTTCAGATATTTCAACCCAGTCTCACAGCAAATCATGAAATAGTCACGAATTGCCATGACTATTGCCAATTTCATTTGTAAAGTCAGTCCAAATAAACGTGTTCCTCATCAATTTAAATCCCTAAATGCACTTAAAGTTTTATATTTCACCCTCCATTTAGGAGAAACAGCCATTTTGGAGAAAGAACTACAACTTCCAGTAGCACTACAATACAACGTGATTGAACACGACATGAAGTATGTAGTTCTTCTTGGGGTTTACGACTAGTGTGGTGTTTGTATGTCTCCTCGTGTCTTCCTGTGGAGGTGCAGGACTTTATGTTGGAGTTAAAATGATCCTTCAGTGAGTAAAAATGAGATAAAAGCTGAAAACGCCTGGAAGCTCCTTGAAGTTCAGAAGGTTAAAGTCAACGTCTGTCATTCACATTATTCTTTGGAGAAGCTTTTCTTGCCTCTTTTGGTCCTAAACAGTTGGAAGTTTTCGTCCCTCTAACAGTCCTTTTTAACCAATTCTGTGTTTTTTATCACTCGGTTTTTCCCCCGCTGACCTCCGGGCGACGCCAAGGGCGTCCTGCGACCGCTTTCCTGTCGCCCGGCGCCCGACGCCCAACACTTAATCAGTTTGAACTCCGGAGTTAATGTACAGCTTTGAACTCTTCCATAATAAATCAGGGGACAAGTGCGGAGTTATCAGCGGCTCCCGAGCGGAGGCAAGATATTCATCACCGCCGCCGCGTGACGCATCATTTCCTGCTTGCTTTCCCATTTCCTTAGATATTAAATAATGCATCGATGGAGGAGGGACGCCGCCGCCGCTGCTGCTGCTGGTTGTGTTTTGGTTGTGTTTTGGTTTTAAAGCCGCCCATCTCATTCTGTTCATAGTCACTGGAAGATCAACAATTGATGAGATGTTTTTCAGTTCTATTTTCTGAGGTGCTAATTAGCCCCGGCATAATTATAGCGCCGCTGCAGAGGAGCAGCCTCCCCTCCCTCGTTTTAATGTCATCATCACTGCAGCCGTTCCTGTTTCACTCCTGCTCGTTTGTGTTGCTGCGTTTTCTTGAAGCAGGAAACTTTCTCCCGTTCGGTTTTCATCGTGACGTCGTCGTCCTTGAAGCTCACCCTGACGTTGCTTTAGAGGTGAGCGAACGTCTGAGGAACGTGAAGGAGAACCGAGCTCCAATGGGACCATCAGACTCCACGCGGGGGTCAGATGGTTTTCATTGGCCGACTCTCTGTATCAGTTCCCTGCAGCGTTCCGCATTTCAGAACTCCTGTTTGCTTTTTTTGTTCGCTCCCTGCACAAACCCACGTGTGGTTCTTGTTTCTGCAGTCAGAACCAGATCGAACGCAACATTAGAGACAAGGAGCTGTCCTCAGATGTTTAGGTTTGTGCTTCTTGACAGGAACGTCGCAGCATCTGATGGTGGAACAAAGCTGTGTGATTGTGCCGAAAGCATTCTCAGCTCGAGTCGGATTCGATTCTGAAGCCGTGTTTGTTTTTATTTTGCTGGAAATATTGCGATGTGATAAACAGTAGCTCAGTGAAAGTGAGACGGGTTTAACGTCGTTCTGCTGATCATCAATTCTTTTGTTTGTCCTCATTAATAAAGCCAAGAGTCGCGCCGAACCACGATGATTAGGTTTGATTCAACTTTATCGTCGTTGCACCGAGAACAAGAAACGTAGTTTAGCATCTCAGCAGTATTATGTGATTACATACACAGTCTGTTGGAGCAGAACCAGAATGAACACGCTGAGTCTATGAATGTACAGCTGTGGATATGAGATAGATCATCTAAACACAGTCATTTTACTGCACTTGAGACTCGCTCCTTGTGTTTTATATCAAGTTTAAAGATTATGCTTGATGCTGTTACGTGCGATGTTTTTGAACCCTCTTTGGTGTCTGTTGACTGGAATTACGTCTTCTGTGAAGTGAAAAGTGCCACCAGTCAGTCTCTCTGCTGTTCTTTCTCATATGATTCAACTAAAACATCCAGAACAGTTGGACAGAACTCAGATCAGTCTTTGCACTCATCTTAAATGGTCGAATTGATTAGTGCAGCTGCAGCTGAAATATTTCAATACAACTGATTTCTTGCAACCAAGTCATCCTTTTTGTTAGTGTTTCTTCCCTCATTTAGCTGCACACATGTGGAGGCGAAAACCTCAAAGAAAAACTATCTAAGAAGCCTTGAATCAGAGCAGATAACGTTTCAGCAGACACGTTTATTTACGTCTGAAGTCTTTGTCAAGGACTCACAGGTGTGTGCAAAAGCTGATTTTGGCACTACAGTTCCCCCTCCAGCTAAATAAGTTTAGAAAAGCTGTCCTATGAATTTTAAAAATACTAAAGAGAGCTAATTAAACTTAATAAAACAAGTTAAATAAACACTCAGTTGAATTAAGAGTTGAGTCAGACAGACGGCTTCCCTTCGTCGTGGTTCTTATTGTTTTCATTTTTAGCGAATAAAGATTTAATTTAAATTTCATTATAGACACGAACACAGGGAATATCTGGAAAGTTTTTCCCTAAAACGAGCTGAGAACTCTGCTGCTGTGCTGCTTTTGTTATTGCTGCTGCTGTTATCTGATGCAGACACGGATACTCAGAACAGTGTTATTAACTTCGCTATTGTTTTTTAGTTTTATTTTTTTAGCCATTTTCTAAAAGAATGTGACGGTTAGTTGGTGTGTTCATCATGCTCCTCCTCCAGTGTGTCGTAGGGGTCAATCCACAGGCTGCTACCGAATATTAGCAATAAATGAGATTAATAATTGATATTTGGAACCGATAAATAACAAATGTTATGTTTCAACAGCATGTGACAGCAGAGAGCCTGTCATTTATAACTAGATTACTTCATTAAAAAGGATTACTATCACCAAATATGATCAAAAGAAATAAAAGTGATGACGTCAAAGCATCATGTGATGTTTTCCTGTGTTTATTATTGGATCCATGAGTTTGTGTTCTGTCTGCTGTTCTTCTGTTTTTCTTCATCGTTAATTGTTTTGTCACTTTTATTTCCCATTAAAGTTGATATCTTACATTGTTTAAAAAAAAAAAAAAAAAGAAAGTAATTCCAGACACTGTTTAAGGGTGATCTGTGGCTACCTCCTAACTTAGCTGTTAGCCGCTAGCTTAGCCTTAGCATCTGTGAGAGCAGCTCATGTCTTGTGTTGATTGTCGCGCTTCTTGTTTAGCTTTTATCAGATTGTGTCTCTGTCGGTTACAACAGAGTGTCGAAGGTAATCTGACAGTAGCGTCGCACCTTCAGCCAAACACTAACACCAATAAGTAAATTATTTTGGACACCTGTTGCGCTGCCTTCGAAAACACAGCTTCTGTAATTCACTGGAGCGGCTTCAATGTGCTTTTCTGTCTCTCTGTGTAAACAATAGCTTTCAGCGTTGATTGGCTGTCACTTGTGAACCAATCAGATCGAGCTGTGGGCGGGACTTTGCTTTAGAGTGACTGCTGCTTACATCACAGGCAAAGAAGAACGTTTCATTTGTTTTACTGAATCTGAAAAATGCAGAGTATTGGCCCAGATAACCGCTTGATCCTTCAGAAAAAGACATTCAGCACCTCGTCATGCTGCTGGTGCTTTTTGCAGTTGTGCAAAAACGCAGCATTTCCGTTACAAACAAT